TTTGATTATAAGTCACTAAATATTTTATAATATTTTTGAGAATATAAAAAAGTAAATTATAATATAATATAATATTATGTATATATATATTATAATATAATATTGGCATTAATTAATTGTTTTTATTGTAAAGAAATATTATATTTTAATCTCAATATAAATCTTCTTTAATCTGTTAAACAAATGAAATAAAAAAAAATATGTAAGATATAAAGAATAAATTAATATTGCTTTCAGATTAACGCATACAAATTTTTTAATCTGTATAAAATAATAATGATTTTATATAAATGATAATCATTTATATAAAAAAAATAGAAAATATAATTTAATACAATTCTTATACAATAAAATCTATAGATTTCAATGGTCTGGATATTTTTCTTCTAAATACGATTATATTTTATTATTTATTATATATATTCGTATATTTCATATTATTATATATATTAACATATTTAATTTTTTACAAAATTATATTATATAATATTATATAAACAAAAATCATTACGAAAAAAATATTATTAAAATATTAAAAAATAATGTTTAAAATTAATACATGTTTGGTGATTTGTAGATAAAAGAATATGAATTGTTCATACACTTATTTGCAGTTTTCTGTTGCAGGTGATATCAAGGAATGTGCTTCACTTCCGTCAAGTCGTTACCGAAACAAAGGGGGATTTATAAAAACCGGTAAGTGCATCGGTTAAGTTCATAAAGAATGCAAAACACTACATGAATTCTCAGTACGTGTGTATTCGAACTTTGCTGGAAGTCTGTGCATATACGCAGGGAACGAAGCCAGCCAGAATAATCTGAGTTTATCGATCGACTCTTTGTTGCCAACTTGGCAACAGCAAACTCCCGGAATTACGAATGAAATGTTCTATATAGTAAAACAGTTGGCAAATCAGGTTTGCTTTTCATATCTTTACGAAGAATGATATATATCAAATTCCATTTCTTTTCCCGGATATTTTATGTTTAAATCATTTCCCTAGCAATGATTAATTACAATTTTGATATCAGGCTCTATCAAGTGTATTTAATTATTTGATTTTAATTAATTTTTAAGCTTTTATTGCCATTTTATTTATTTTAATTGTTGATATCAAAAAAAATTATTTATTTAGTTTTAGAAGTATATTTCTTTAAACTATTTGAAACATATATATGCAATGAATGTATATGAATGTAATATTTAAATATAATTTGTACATCTTATTTTATCTATCAGTGCCAAAAATTCATTCCAACAAAGTGATGAATGGATATAAAAATAAATACGTATATTTAATTATATTTCTCGCAAAATTTCTCTATTATTTCTTTTTTCCATTATATTTATATTTCTCAATTTGTTTATTTAGTTTATATATTTTTTTCTTATATATTTTTTCCTTATTGTAAAGAATATATTGTATGTAATTTTATCGATTATTTGTAACGAAAATAATGAATTTGAATTTTTAGTTAATATTTTCTTTATAGTTTGATTTGCATATTGAAATTTTATATTTTAGTAATTTTTTAATAATATTTTATATATCACTTATATATAGAATTTGAATTGATTTTTATGTATTTATTTTTAACGTGCATATTTATTTATGTGAAATATACATATAATTCAAATACAAAAATAGAATTACGTACAAGAATAGAAATAAGCAAAACGTGACTATATTTCATTAATCACGTTACGTATGAGAAGTGTAATATTTATATGAGATATCTGCATGTCAATGTCATTACTATTTTTTTAAAGAATTACAATTTTTTAAAGAAATTTTTATAAAGATTTTATATAATATATTTATATTTTTATAAATATATAAAATTTAGATATAAGAAAAGAAAATTATTCTTTGGATTTTGAAGATCAAAATAAAACAAAAATTAAAAATATAAAAATGTCAATAGAGATTAAGTTATAATTAAAATTTGCATTAGACAAAGCGAGATAACGTAAGATTGTTCTTCATTACCATTGCATTCTGTTCTCATCTGATTTTATCTAACTTAAATTGCTTAATATATTCGATATATTTTTGTACATTAATTTTTTTATTTATGTTAGTCTCTAGAATCGGTCTTCCAAAGCATTCCTCCATATTAAGTCTGAAGATAGAGATATAGAGTTATATACATATTTATTATTTTTATAAATATTTAATTATGTCTACAAGCATAAATTTTAATCAACTAGTAAATAAACTTGGCATGTAATTAAACTTCACAAATAATTTTTGGATTATAATATAAAAATAATGTGATAATTTTTTGAACTATTTGTTAAGCCAAAAATTATTTACAACATTGATACTTGCAACTATTTTTAAAATTCATTTACAGATTATATTCATATAATATGATAAAATAATGACTATCATACGATGCAAATATATATTAATAATTGATTATGAATGTAATTAATAATAGAAATATGTATTGACTATAATTTTTAATATAAATAAATTTATATTTGATTTGCTTTCGTTTTTGTTTTTCAATAGAAAGTTTACTGCTACAATTTCAAAAATACAATAATTAATGTAGTAAAATTGAAATAGTACTAATATGTTTGTTATAATAAACATATTTTTTTTATTATTTATAAATATATATTATAAACATTATTTATTTTTTAAGTTAAAAAATTATTTTTATTTATTATTATACATATTTATAATTATACAATATTGTTTAATAATCATATTCTAATTAGGAAATTATTAAATTATAAAATTCGAAAAAAGCAAATTGATTTAATTCAAATAATAAATAAAAGATAAATGAAATAATTCTACACAGTTCTATTATTTTGAAAAAATTGAAAAAGAAATAATCAAATTATTTTGAGTTGTTTTAATTGATAATTATTTTATTCAGAAAAACATATAAATATTTAGAAATATTTAAATATTTATCATATTTAACATAGTAGATATGATAATCTGTTTAAAACACATATAAAAAGGTCAAAATAATTTAAACTTTTGAATCGTTCTAAAATTTTTCTCGGTTCGAGAAAAAATCTCGGTTTGAATTTTGAATTGCTCAAATATTCGAATAACATTAATTCTAATGATATACATATAAGCATACAGTATTTATATATACTTTCAATATTATTAATATAATAGAACTGATACATAAGATGTTTATGACTATAATAAATTAGCATTTAAATTTTAGGAGATATTATAATATAATATTTACAACTGAAAAGACGATAAATATGTCATAAATATTCAGATAAGTATCATATAAGGTTTAGAAATGTTTTATTATTTATACATTCATAAATTTATATTTTCGTATATTATATTATAGTGATCTTTTATATAAAAGCTATGATATATAACAAAAATAAATAAATTATATTTCCTTAAAAATTATGTTTACAAAATTAATATTGATGTAATATTTTGGCCAAAATAAAATTAAGTCATGATTGTACATATTATATCTATATAACGATATAATGTTTGTATAAATAGACGTTATTTCAAAATCGAAAATATGTATGTAGAAATATTTCTTTCATATTTTATAATTTTATAATAACTAGACTTTTTATTTACATTAACATTTAAAGTATAAAATTAAAATTATATTTCTACAAAACTAAAAATATATATAAAAATATAACTGTCGCCAAATAGTAAATTTGAGAAAAATATATTTTAAAAGTAAAAGTTCAACTTTTATTTATTATTATTTTATCACTTATTTTATCATTATTCAAGATTTTAGACTTGTAGTAATATCCAATATTCTTTTTGATTTTTAACTTTTTGTTTTTTTTATACTTTTTTTTATATTTTGTTACATTGTACAAATGCATTTAATTAATTATATTATATTATTCATTTAATGAATTAATATATAATAATATATATATATATATATATAATATAGATAAGAGATCTAGATATATATAATATTTAGATCTAATAAGATATATCTAATAAGATATATATAATTATCTAGGTATATA